GAATTTGAATCTTTCGAATTTCAGCCACATCCTAAAAACAAAGCTAAGGAGAGCAGATAAAACCACCAACGTCTACAGCATCACTTGAGACAGAGACACTTATGAGTCTTGTTTTACACAAATGCAGGTAAATATTCCTCCCAAACCAGCAAACCCAGTCACAGAGCCATGCGAAAGAACAGAAGCCAAGAAGGCACAGAAAAGGTTAGAAAGTAATAGTGGGCTAGCAATGATGTAAGACAGGTAAAACCATCACCGGAAAAAGCCCATCTTAAATGGAGAAATACGGACAGATTTAAGAAATGACTGATGAACTGAGAAATCAGAACTTGAAAGTTTGAGACTAGAAACGGCAATCTTGGGAAAGCCTGTCTTCCTAAGGAAAGAGGTGATGTGAAGGGGCTGGAGACTTTCGAAGCTTAATTATGAAGAGAAAGAAGGTAGCACGCAGTGAAAATTAAGAATCCCACGGAAATAAAAGAGAATCACAAAAATCGAAGACCTCAATCCGGGTTCCGTCGCCTGGCACCCAACCCCCACACCTACGAAAAAAGGGCCTTCTATCTGGGGTGCATTTTGCTCTTCTAACACAAGAGGGCGCTCTTAAACTAAGAAACCTGGTAAACTGCCTCATTTGCAATTGTGGAAACGAAAATAAAACATTTCAAAATCCACAGAAAATAACAGACATAATATTATATGAAGGAAATTAAAAATGAAAATCAATATTTAAAAAACTAACCCTGGAACATGAAATTTAAAAACACCCCAACCTAAATTAAATAACCTTAAACATTCATTCAGTGACATGAAAAAATACTGTGAACCACAAAAATAATTCAGAAAAGGGACAAAAAATAAAAAGAGTTGGTCAAAATTAGGAGCTTCTAAAAAACAAAAACAAATTTCAGGAAAAAAATAAAAGGAAATTTATAAGAAAGATGTCCAAAAGGGGGCTATGGCTCAAGTGGTGGAACACTTGCCCAACAAGAGCAGGGAGACCCTGGATTTGAACTCTCAGACAGACAGACAGACACACACGCACACGCACACACACACAACACAAATCCAAAGAGAAATTTTTTATATAATAATAACTGGTATTGAGGAAAGGAAGTTAAATAGCTAAGAAAATAAAAATAAAATCAAGAAATTAGCAAGGATCAGTCCCTGAAGAAGAAAGTAACGGAACAGATGTAATATTCAAAACTGTCATACAAGAAAACTTTCTAGAAACAAAACTTGAATCTTTATATCGAAAGTGTCTTCCAAGAGCCTGGGGAAATTCATCTAGAATGACCAACTCTACGTATGTCTTATAAAATTAGTTAGATCTGAAACAAAAATCCTCTGGGTCTCAGGCAAAAAAGGATATTAGAAAAAGATATAAAATTACCTACTGAAACAGAAACAGAAACATTACTAAACATCTAAAGTAATTTAAAAGTTACTTGCTTTTGTTTTTAAGCACTCCCTTATTTTCTGGTACTTTACAAGATGCTCCTGGTTTATGTCTACAAGTCTTGCTTGTGGTTTCTCCAAGACGCCTGATTCCTTTTATCATGGAAAGGGGGCTGAACTGCCGAGGGAAACGGGTCTTTCCCGACTAAGAAGGGATCTCAAAAGTGTTCTTCCAAGGCGGCGCTGGCTGCCTGGAAAAATGAAGGCAGCTCGGGCGGCAGCAATAGGACTGGAAAGCGCCCGCGGGTCTCGAACCACCCACGAGTGGGTAAGTGGTTGGTGAAGTTTGTACGAAGGAACCGCTGAGCTAGAGCCAGTCCGGGAGCAGGTTCCTGGTTGTGTTGTCTTGACTGGAAGTGAAGCGTGCGTCACAAAGGGCGAGTCCACTTAGGAGTGTCCAGGCCGGCTCCAGGTCCACCGTCCAACCGCCTGCGGAGTGCGCGGGGCGGCGGGGACTCAGCCCTGCGGATAGCTATTCCGCGGTAGTGTCCAGCCTACCCTCAAATCCTCCATCCTCGGCCTCCTGCAGCGGTCACCTGGTTCACAACAAATCTGTAGAAGCCCCGACCCCACCTCCACCACCTCCACCACCTCCACCACCTCCACCACCCAGTCTCCGCGCTCCCCCAGCAGCCACGCGAAGTCACTGTGCAAATCAACTTTCACAGCCAGTGCCTGACTCCACTCGAGGAACTGGAAGCGTTACACCGCGCAAAGTGTATTTCGGACTTTTCTTGGAACTTTGCTACTTAGACCAGGTAAGCCCCGAAGTCCCTCTCCCATGTGTTATATATTTCTCGTATTATTTCCTCTTACTATTTTTAAACTTTCAAACGCCACACAGTTGGCCTATACCTTTTATGTGTACAGCTTAACTTTCCTCAAAAGTCCTACTTTTCTATTATTGCTTATACTCTCTCTACAACAAAATTAGAAATAAGGGCAAAATAGTTTCTGCTGGGTATTGAGGGCGTGGGGGGGGAGAGAGAGGAGGTAGAAGGGGTGGTAAGGGAGGGGGTGGGGGCAGGGAGGAGAAATGACCCAAGCTTTGTATGCACATATGAATAATAAAAGAAAAAAAAAAGTTCTACTTTTCTTCTGCCAGCCACTATTAATACTTCAGTGTGGATCCTTTCTATCCTTTTCCTAAATCTATATATGCAACTATATACAACATATAGGTTTGTGGTTTTGTTTTGTTTTGTTTTGTTCCTGGTTGACGGAAATGATTGCTGAGGGTCTTTTTTTTTTTTAATGTTTTTTGCTTGCTTAACAGTCTTGGAGAGCTTTTCTGCCCTGACATATAGACCCAGTTCATCTATATTGTAATGGCTGTCTTTTATTCAAGTAGAAATGCAGTGGGGTTGAGATGTTTCACCACTGTAAAACTGAGGTAAATATCCTTGTACATCTGCATACACATGAAAGTATGCAAGTGTACATGTACATGTAACAAACGATAGAAGCATGTACAAGAATGTTGTTTTGTTTTGGAGGCAGGGTCTCAATATGTATCCCAGGCTGGCCTTAAACTTTTGATCCTCCTGTCTCAGCCACCCAAGCACTTGGGATTATAGACATGCACTAACACACTGGGTGCTTTTTTGTTTGTTGTGCTGGAGATCAAATCCAGGGCATCATACACACTAAGCACATCACATGCATGTTGGTGCTTAGAAATGCTGGGCAAATCTGCACATTTAACTTTTTTTGGAGTTATGGTGGGAAAAATGCAAGCCCCAAGAATGCCTGCAGTCAGAGGGTCACCTAAAATCACAAGGATCTTTTGTTCTGTTTTAAACAGCAATTCCACCAGAATGTGAATCCCATGACCTTTGATGCCTTACCCCAGAAGATGCTATCAGTAACTATAGCTTGCACACCTCTTTAGCACTGGCTGAATGAACACATGTAGGTCAGTCACAGGTATACTCAACTAGAATGCAATATTCACGTGGATTAAACAAATAAGTTTAATCACATCAAATAAGTTTCTCTTCCCGATTTCTGAGTTATCTGGGATTGTTCTGGGTTAATTTTCATGCCGTCTCCTGCCTCCCATTTTCCAAGCACTACCTTAAGTCCCTCCAAACACTGGAGACCTAGACAGATCCCTTTAAAAACACATCACTTACTTGCTTGTCCCATGAGAATTTAGGCAGCCTGGGATTCACTACTTTTTGGTAGAGATGATCAGAGGGAAAGTCTCATTGTACTAAAGAAAATAATCATTTGAAACTGAGTTGAATCAGGTTTCCTGAAGAATGAATACCGAACCACAGGAGGAACTCCCCTCACTGAAACCTTCTCCAGCCTGCCTTGAAAGGGGTAACAAAAAGACCCAGTTTAACAAGGCACTTTTACCCAAGGACTTGGAGTGTGCACAATCCTGTCAAGGAAAGCACCCATAATCTACTCCCAGTTGGCCAGCAAATACTGTACCTAAAATTTTTGAGCCGGGCCTTCAGCTTATAGGCAGACATTTTCAGTGTTCCCAGTGGCCAGATTCAGTGTCAAAATTCACTAGACAAAAAGCATGCCTCACAGCAGGGGAATTTTACAAGTCCAAAGGGAAGAGTATGGTGCTTTGTGGGACCAAAAGAGGTTCAGACACTACAGAAAAATGTGTGAGGAGCAACATGGGCAAAAAAAGAAAGAAAAAAAAAGCCATACAGTGGCCATCTTTGTAACCCAAAAGGATCCCTTTATTCAGGGTATAGAACCAGCAAAAAGGCATCTGAAGTCTACGTGTCTGTTGTTCTTTTTGGTGTACAACTTTTTTTCCTTTGCATTCCCTGGACCTGGCACAGTACCTGATCCAGGAACTATCAGTTTTTTGTTTTGTTTTGTTTTGTGGGGGAATGTTTTGTTTCTAACTAGTCAGTCTATGTCATCTAATTCTGAAGTTAGACAACAGTAGAGATGACAGCTTCTCTTCAGTGATTCTCAGTGAGCAGAAGGGAGAGGGAATGTGCCTCCTCCCAGGGAATGCAGACATTTTTAGCTGTCACAAATTGGAGGGTGCTACCAGCATCTAGTGAGGCTGAGGATGCTGCTAAGTATCCTGCAATGCACAGAATAAAATACTTATCTGGCCCAAAACATCAATAATGCCAAGACTGAGTAACCCAGTGCCTAGTCCAATTGCACACAGTAAGAAAACCCAAAGTTTAACCCTTAGCTCTGCTGTTCAAGATCAAATAGGCTGGCCAGATGCCAGTGGCTCACACCTATAATCCAAGCTAGTCAGAAGGCAGAGATCAGGAGGATCATGGTTCAAAATCAGCGTGGGCAAATAGTTCTTGAGACCCTATCTTGAAAATAAAGCAGGACTGGTAAGTGGCTCAAGTGGTAGAGAGCCTACTGAGTACATGGGGAGGCCCTAAGTTCAAACCACACTACTGCCAAAAAGGAGGCTGAAATTACAGGTGGCTGAATAGTTCTGTGAACACAAATCTTGGTATCGGAGAAGAAAAGGCTCTATATGGAAATCTCAGTGTGGTAAGGAAAAATGTAACACACACACAGGGCAGAATATAGAATGTTCCCACCAAATGTGAAACGGGCCCAGACAAGGTCATTTATTACATGTGTTGAAGACCCTGTGAGACCCAAGGTCTCTCATAGCAACCACAGCAAGTTTATTTGTTTGGTTTTTTGTTTTTGTTTTTTGCATCAAACAGGTTCCTCCAAGAGCCTGCTCATAAGGAAGACAAAAACAGAGAAGTGTTCAGTAAAATGAAACAAACAGGAGAAGCTGAAACAGTCTACATCTGAAGAACAATGTAAAAAACTCACCAGACACAAACCACACCAAACACTCATCCCATTTAATTGCCTGTTACATGCGCTGAGGAAACCAAGAACATCAGGCCTCAGGGCAGCAATGCTCTGAGATTCTAGCTCAGGCCCCCTCTTGTGACAGATTCATGCACACATATCCACACATACCATTGACCCAGGCAGAAGTACACATGCATGCACAGATGGCTAGAGAACCACAGAGTGGGGTGGGAAAAGGAGGACTGGTCAAGAATATGGTATCAACTGGAAACTAGGGACCCAGAAAACCTTTCCATTACAGGCTAACAAGAGTCAAAGTTTAAACAAAGGAAAAAGGTAAGATGCTGGTAAGATGCAAGAGGTTGGATAGATGAAGAGGGAAAGATGCAGGGGGAGTTTTGGGAAAGCATCCACAGAGGGGGAGGTCTTTCTTTATTGGGAACTCAGATGAACAGAGGTCTTGTGACTCCAGTGATAAACGAGGCTGAAGGAATGCACCACATCACTACCTCTGCATCCTTTGACTACCCCCAAGGCAGAGGGAAACACCCACCCTCTATCCCTGCCTGTTACCACTCTAAAGGACTTTCCCCAGTACCCAAAAAGAAATTACCCCCCACCCCAACAGACACACAAAGTTTAGGTCCAGCATAGGCCAAACTTAGGCCCTACACAGAAAGCCTCAGTAACTCTTCTTGGTGGAACCAAATCCAGAAAAACCCATCACAGCTGCCATCTCGTCATCTTCCTCAAATGTCAAGTCCTCCTCCGCCCTCCTTTTCTTCTCCTTCTGTTTCTCTTTCTTGTAAGCTTTAGCCTTCTCCTCCTAGAGGTGGGGGTGGGAGGAAGGAAATCACTCAGAATCAGTTCAGGCTCCTGAGCTAATGTTGTTCAAAGAAATGTGAGCTCTGAGATTCCTTTCTGTCTTTAGGAGAAAATAAAATCTCAAAGGCAGAATAAAAGCCACAGTAAAGATTATAGGTCAGTGATAGAGCACTTGCCCTAGTACATACCAGGCCTGGGTACGCATGGCAAAAAAAAAAAAAACAAAAAGGACAACAAAGAGAAGTTTTAGTCACTGGAGAGTTGAGTTGTTCTCAATCCTACACCCAGGCTCATCTCTAGTTCTTAACAGGGTGTGGAAGTAAAACCACATAACATTCTGAAGCAGCAGTACATGCCAAGAACTGTTCCGAGTACTTTATGTATATTATACTAAAATCTCATGTGGAGAAACTGAAGCACAGAACAGTTATATAACTTGCCCAAGATTCATAGCCAGCAAGTAGAAGAAACAGAATTCTGACCCTGTCAGTCTGGATTCACAGGCCACTTGGGGACTAGGTACATTTAGTTAATTCCTCTTTAGTTAAAACAAAACAAAAGTTTGAGAGCAGGTACGCATGTGTGGGAGATAGGATATAAATGGGAAGTCTCGATTTTGCCATGAACCTAAAACTGCTCTTAAAAAAAAAAAGTCTTTAGGCCAGGTACAATGGTTCACACTTATAATCCTAGCTATTCGGGAAGATTGTGGTTCAAAGCCAGCACAGCAAAAAAGTTCATGAGACCCAATCTCAACCAATAAAAGCTGAGCATGGTGTATTCACAATAGCCAAGTTATGGAAACAGCCAAGATGTCCCACCACTGACGAATGGATTAAGAAAATGTGGTATCTATACACAATGGAATTTTATGCAGCCATGAAGAAGAACAAAATGTTATCATTCGCTGGTAAATGGATGGAATTGGAGAACATCATTCTGAGTGAGGTTAGCCTGGCTCAAAAAACCAAAAATCGTATGTTCTCCCTCATATGTGGACATTAGATCAAGGGCAAACACAACAAGGGGATTGGACTATAAGCACATGATAAAAGTGAGAGCACACAAGGGAGGGATGAGGATAGGTAAGACACCTAAAAAACTAGCTAGCATTTGTTGCCCTTAACGCAGAGAAACTAAAGCAGATACCTTAAAGCAACTGAGGCCAATAGGAAAAGGGGAACAAGTACTAGAGAAAAGGTGAGATCAAAAAGAATTAACCTAGAAGGTAACACCCACGCACAGGAAATCAATGTGAGTCAATGCCCTGTATAGCTATCCTTATCTCAACCAGCAAATACCCTTGTTCCTTCCTATTATTGCTTATACTCTCTCTACAACAAAATTAGAAATAAGGGCAAAATAGTTTCTGCTGGGTATTGAGGGGGGGTGAGAGGGAGGGGGCGGAGTGGGTGGTAAGGGAGGGGGTGGGGGCAGTGGGGAGAAATGAACCAATCCTTGTATGCACATATGAATAATAAAAGAAAAATGAAAAAAAAAAAAAAAAGCTGAGCATGGTGGCCCACATCTGTCATCCCAATTATATGGGAAGCATAAATAGGAAGATCATGGTCCAGGCCAGTCTGGGCATAAAATTAGACCCCCATCTCAAAAACAAACAAAGCAACAAGGGGTGGGAGGGCAGGGGAGGAGGGCAGAGATGATTTAGATGGTAAAGCAACTGCCCAGCAAGCACAAGGCCCTGAGTTCAAATCCCATTACTACCCAAAAAAAAGTTTTTAAAAAAATTAAAGAATAATTGCCCAAAACAAGTATGGCCCAAAGAGCCCAGGAGAAAAGGAGGTTTGGAGCCATTAGCATCTCAAGTGGGAAAAAAGGTTTCTCCTATCCCAAGATACTGAAATTCAGAGACAACACTGGGAGTGAAAGGAATGGGATGAGAAAGAGAGCCACTCATAATTAACAAAATAAATAAAAGGGCCTCACCTCTTCTCTGAGCTCCTTCATCCTTTCCTCGAAATCATAATCCTTCTGCTTCTCTTCCATTTTTTTCTTATTGACCTCAAAACGTTTTTTCACCTGATCCAGAGTGGAACGTTCCACACGCATAGACATGCCCAGGTTTCGCTGATCTAGGTGGCATCAACAGCAAAGAAGGCAAGGTCATTACATCTTCAGCCCCTCAAAAAGTTTGGTCCTAGCTTTTTTCAAAAAAATATTTTTTTATAAAATACACAGCAAACATAATTATGTCTAAAAAGGTCTCGGCCTCACCTCTTCCCAGAAGCAGCAGCTGTAGATACCAAGATACAGGTGGTTTTCAACTGCTTACTGAGCAGGTGAACAACAGTGAGACCACCTAGACCCAGGTGAAGACTATGGTTTGGGTTTGCTGAGAACCTAGAACAGTATCTCACCTCATATGGTTTCCAAAAATATTACATAATGAAGTAAAGGATGGCCTGATGAAGCAACTGGAGCACTCCGTGGGCATCAAAAAGGGCTCATAAGAAATCACCCTTCCCCTCTCCCCCATCTCCATAAGCCAATCCCAATCCCAGCCACAAACTACCTCCAAGCCTTACGTTTCTTTCCATTAATGTGATCCAGGAAGTTGATGGAGTCCTTTACCACACAGTCACACACATTGCAGTAATATCTGACAGATGGGAAGAAACAGCACATGGGTCAAATCTGGTTTTAAGGATGTTACTGTTTTCAACTAAGAAACTCAAATTTTTAACCTTTTTTAGATATTTTATAAGGTCCCATTTCCAAAAAGCCTTAGCTCTTGGAAGAGGGTATCAGCAATCCTCCAAAGTAATCCCACCCTGGGTATCCTCTCATTCTGTACCAGGGTGGTCTGTGTGACCAACAGAGAATGTCAAAAGTGATGGCATGTCACTTCCAAGATTAGGTTATAAAAGCCATGGCTTCTGTCTTTGGATCACTTGCTCCGGAAAAGCTATATGCTTTATTGTGAGCAAACCTATGGAGAGGCCCACAAGGTAAAGAACTTTAGCCTCCAAACCATAAGCATGCGAGAGAGCTTAAAGCAGATCCTCCAACCTCATTCAAGCCTCAGCTAAATGCAGACCAAGCCAACTCCATAACTGCAGTTTCCTGAGAGACCCTCATCCAGAACCACCTACATAAACTAAGATTCCTTTTCCACAGAAACTACGAGCTGTGTTATTTTATGATGCTAAACTTTTAGTTAATTTACATAGCAAAGGATAACACAAAAAGAGGAATGAAAATGGGCTTACTAAACAGCTCAGAGAAGTGTCACTAATTGCTATGTGTGTTCCTCCTGCTGGAAATTCTAGCTGGACAGAGAAAGAGTGGTAGGAAAAGGTTAACAAGCTCTTGTGGTACCCTTCTTCCTACAAGTCTTGGTCTGGTAAGAATGTACACAACTAGGAACCTTCCATGACAACTACACCCTCTGCAATTAGTCTGGAACCTCAAACCTCTTTTTTCCCCCAATAACAGCTCCTGGCCTCCATTCCAGCTCCACCTCTTTTCTCCCCTAGAAATCGCTCAGTAGTCCTTTCATTTCTTCTGACAGAACAAATAATTCCTTTTCAGATATTGAAAGGAAGTCATAGTGCTAATATGATGAAGCCCACAGACTGACCCGCCTAGAGATACTACAGAATTAACTTGAGACTTTGAGGGACAAAGCCAAATCTAAGGATGGAATTAAGGGCACCAAGGTAATTATCCTGGGGCCAAGGACTCTCAACACTTCTTTTTTTTTTTTTTAGGTTGACTTTATTTTTTTTTTTTTTCATTTTTCTTTTATTATTCATATGTGCATACAAGGCTTGTCAACACTTCTTAAAACCAACATATGTAATTTGTTAGGCCCAGTCTTGGCTTCAGAGAAAGACAAAAAGTTACTCACCCTCCCATCTCAGACTGTGGAGTGGTCTTGGTAATAACAATTGTCTTCCCAAGCTTGGATTCCAAGTCCACTTTGTAGTCCCTGTGCCGCAGAAGCTCCCTCTTGACTGGCTGTACTGGTTTCCCTGAAACATAGTGGGGATGAAAATCTCTCCAATACTAGTTTCTCAACCAGAAAGGAAAAAAATATATGAAACCCAAAATTCAGAGGACTACTCTCATTCCTTTTTTAATTCCTTAAAAATGGGACACAGCAGATACTTCAAGCAGCAGTTAGCAGCAGCTAGGGAGAATGTGAAAACAAGAAAAAATGATAAACAATCACCAGCTCATCACAACTTTTCTCCAAAGCCAGCACATTTAAAAGCAGTATGTCTTCTACTCTGAACTGAGGGTGGAGAAGTTCTGAATTTTCACTAGAATCAACTGTTTCAAAAGAGCAAGGGCCAGGCTCTGGTGGCTTATGCCTGTAATCCTAGCTACTTAGGAGGCAGAGATCAGGAGGATCACTGTTCAAAGCCAGCCCAGGCAAATAGTTCAAGAAGACTTTATCTCGAAAATACCCAATACAAAAAAGGGCTGGCAGAGTGGCACAAATGGTAAAACGCCTGCCCAACAAGAGTCCCAGTACTACAAAAAAAAAAAAAAAAACAGTAATATGTTCAGGAGATACACTAAGCACAGCAAAAAAGGAACTTGCTGGGGGCTGGGTCTAATTTTAAAAGGGGACCAACGTTTAACACAACAGACATGCAAAGCGCTATTTATAATACATGTTACATAAAACTAAAAGGATGCATACAAGATGATGTGGGAGTAAAGTAGAAAAATGTACGTTTAAAAACATGAAAACAAATATTTCTTTTTGTAAAATGAGATCTATCTAGGAGAGGAGCACCAACTTCCTGACACTGTGCAAGGCACAGAGAAACTGCAACACTAAGCACTAGATGAAACAATTTCTGGTGAGTTTTTCTCAGGCTAGTGGGAGGGTCTTGATTGGACCAGAAATGTTTTCCTCCCCCCATAAAGTTTCAAAGAATAAAGAGTGTCCTCAATAGCAGCAATGTCCTGCAGCAAAATACTCTTCTCTGTCGCTACTAAGTATTCCAGTCTCTTCTCTGTAAGAACTAAATAAGCCAAGTAAAAGGAAGGCAAGGAAACAGAGAATAACAGAGCTGAACAGCACCTCAAAACCCCTTCAGGTCGCCTCCTGACTCTCATTTTTTACAAGTAGAAAAACCGAGGGCTGGGGAAGTAACACTGCCAGAGATAGCACTGAGTAGGAGCGCAGCGCATTTCAATTCCCCACCGGCTCTCGAGCCACTGCATCGCCTCTACGATCCCCTTAGCCCTTGATGAAGTGAGCACCCACCATCCTTCTTTTCTCTTTCTTCCGTGAGCCTCTTCTCGGCGAGTTTCTCATATTCATCTTTATCCCACTTTCGGCGAAAGTCCAAGTTTTTTGTCTGTAGGGGGAAAAAGCGCTCAAGATCCGTCGCTCTAACTATGTCCGGACCCCTAGAGAAACTAAGACAGCTGCCTCCTCGTCACCAAGACGACCCCAAGACCTTTCGAAAGTGAAGCCTCTCTGGACCTCATCAGGAGGTTCAGGTGGACTCAAGACCCCAACCCAAGAGACCTCCGTGATTCCACCTTCTCTGCGCCAGGGCCTTCCGGAGGTTCTCGAACCCGGACCCTAAGATCGCGAAGAGGTATCAAGAAGTCGGTCAGGTGCCCGAGTTGGTCTCTATTCAGCGATGAGAAAGTACCCCCACCCCACCCCACAATCATCCTCCTGGCACACAACACCTACCCCGCTGCCCGACGCCATCTTCACAGCGAAGTGAATGGGAGGCCGGAAAATGCCGTAAAAAAAGGCCTGGAGCCGTAAGGCAAGATCGCCCTCCAATAAAGTTAGAGGCTCGTGTTCTTAACGCGCTAAGGACTGGAGGGATTCTAAAACAGGCTTGTTGGCCCCGCCTCTATTCCAAGGAGATGGCGCAAGCGCAAAGAAAACGTGAAGCAACACGGAAGTAAGGGCGCCTGCAAACGTCTTTGGTTTTTTCTTTGCCCTGGCTTTCAAAACAAGCATGGAAGGATTAGTCAATTTATTTTACAAAAGTTAGGAAGCAGTGCCCTCTCATCTAATCTAATCAACTTTATCATTGTCAAGAGTTTCTACACCTTCGCTTAAAGGCTGAAGAACTCTTAGGTATTCTAAATGTCCCATTTACCAGTATGCACTCGAGGAATATGGTCTTAACTGTACCAGTGTTTGCAATGGCACCTTTCCCAAGGCACGGAAGAAAATCACCTTTTGCACTTGGGAACTTTTTGGTTAAACTCATTTTTCTTTAAACTGGGGAACGTAACAGTCATTCCATGCGTAGGGCACAATTTAATCAACATGATTGTACTTGAGAAGGCAGGTCATCAGCAACACCCTAAAGCACTCTGGCAAATGGCAGATAGCAAATGATTTTTAACAACATAAGTATGTCTACAAGTTAGGGGGAGAGAGAGAAGGGAAACTGATTGTTCCTTTCAGTGAATACAGAAGCATTTCCCCAGGGAGCTTACTCCTGGCTTAGAATTCTCCAGTGTACATTCAAGCATTTTTTTCTATGACCTATGCAAATGAATCCCTTGGTAACAAATTGCCCAAACTACTACCCTTAACATTTTATTTAACATATTATCTAACCACTTCTATAACAGCCTTCATGGCAGGATAATAATCACAGCCGTGATTTTGGCACAGAAAATGGGTTCCAAAATCTCAAAAGATCAGATCTTCATCTTGTCATCTATGAAGTTCAGTTTTCAAGATTATTATACAGCCCCACCCTGCTAGTATTAGCAGTGGATACAATCAGTATGGATACTGCCATGCCCCTAGGATAGCATCTCTGTCCTCAAACAAAGCAGAAAACAGCCATTATTCATCCTTGCTCTTTCCAAAACTCCTGGCCAGGTCAAGGGCTGGATGTAGACAAATTCTCCAGAAGCTGGTTCCAAAGCTACAGTGAAATGCTAAGTATCTGATTGCTGGTCTCAACGGTATAGAATCCTTGGCACAAGGCAATTCTTCCAGGGTCTTGCCCACAGCAACCATCTCAGCTCCTCTTGACAGCATTCAGAGGCATTTTAAATTTGCTTCTGCAGCTAGTGTGTCTTTTCTCATACAAGCCACCTGTACCCATGCACAGTTGCTGCTTACACAAGCCTGTAACTTCTTAGAGCCTTCTGTAGTTCCTTATCCATGAACGGGAAGAGGAGGCAGAAGGCACTTGTCACCCATGTTGGCTAACTTGTGAAGTCAACCAGGAACTCAGTCCTAGATGAAAACTTTTCTACAAAGAGCAGCAGATGGCAATCAGGCAAGGATCAAGACTCAGACAGTCGCTTCTGAATTTCAGCCACAAGATTTTCCCGTTTGATGGCCACCTGAAACATAAGAGAACCCTTACATGGCAAACTAAAGTGATACTAGCTCCTTAGCCACTGTTTTTCCGGATTCATTTTACTCTGCATCTGTTTCTGCTATTTATTCAACCAGCAGGGAGTAGTGTGGGCATCAAGCTGACCTGGATAATGTATACCCTTGAGACTATAGGCATCCAACCAAGTACCAGTGACTCACACCTATAATCCTAACTACTTGGGAGGCTGAGATCTGGAGGATTGCAGTTCGAGGCCAGCCCAGGCAAACAGTTTGCAAGACCCCCATCTCCAAAATAACCAGAGCGAAATGGACTAGAGGTATGGCTCAAACTGTACAGCATCTACAAATTTGCAAGCACAAAGCCAAGTTCAAACCCCAGTCCCATAAAAAAGGAAAAAAAAAAAGACTATAGGGATCTAAAATAAAGATCTATGTCTATTTCGTCCATTAGTCTCAAAACACCATGTTGAATTTCATTTGTTCTTCTGCCCACACAGTCAATACTAACAGCAACGGTTGCTTGAGATGGGTCTTCATCCATCTCTATCACTCTTAAACCTGAAGACATTTCCTCAGTCAAAAGAACACATTTCTTAAAGAATGTGGGAAATGGGTGTGGTGGCAAACACCTGTACTCCCAGTACTTAAGTGGCTAAGGCAGGAAGATTTCAAGTGTGAAGCCAGCCTGGGCTAAATAGTTCTAGGCCAGCCTGAGCTACATAGAAGACCCTGTCTCAAAAAAAAAAAAAAAAATTGGGGGAAAGATAGAAATATTTGGTCTCTTCTATTTCTGCCAGCTCCCACTTACCTCTTCTCTACTGGGCACTGAACGGAGTTTGATGACACCTTCTTTCTGTTCTTGCTCACCAATAATGACCACCAGCGGAATGCCCATGTTCTCACAATAGTGCAGTTGGGTTAATAGTTTAGGGTTGTTCTTGTACAGCATCTCTGCCTGAAAAGGGTAAAGACAGAGTAGGGGAATTAGAGTGACCACAATACATAAGCCCCAAGAACATACACTGCCAAAGAAGCCAGAAGTAAGTGGCTAGCCCTCTAGTGGTAGGCTAAAAAGGTTGAGTTCCACCCTAGGCATAAGGTAGAAATGAGGCTTGCTCATGAATTCCACATATACCTAGATGGCTCAGATATCAGCTCCACCATACCTTGATGCCAGAATCCCAAAGCTCTGCAATTAGCTTCAACCGTTCTTGAAGAAAGTTCTTCTGGGGTGTGGCCACAAACACTTGGGTTTCTGTGGTTCGTACCTTCTCACCAGAAGCCTGATTAAAAAAAGAAGAAAACAAAACTAATTTTAAAAAAAATTCCTCTGCACTAGTAATTTCAAAGAAGAAAAGAATCATCAGAAAAATAGTCCAATTGTACCTTCAGAAACAGGTAATCAGACCTCCAGACCTACCTCACCCCTATCTAGGACCTACCTTCATCTTCTGTTCCATAATGTAGAAAATTCGCTCTACTCCAATGCTCAACCCCACACACGGCACCTTGTGGCCCTTGGGGTCAAACATGGCCACCAGCTCATCATAGCGTCCACCAGCAGCCACACTGCCCACATTCAGAGATTCCTCCCCGGCCTTAGCTGCAGTCTGTAACAGCACTGCTTCATAGATCACTCCTGTGTAGTAATCCAGTCCCCGAGCCAGGCTTAGGTCAAAGGAGATCTGTACAGACAAGACTGCAATCAGTCCCAGACCAGATTCTGAGAGCCCTAGAGATCAGCAGGTCCGTTAACAACTCAACTTAACCTTCTCAGAGATTCCAAATAAAGTCAGGTATTCAAAGAGCAGTTTCAGGTCAGTCAGGCCCTCCAAGGCCTGCTTGTTCTGGGATAATCTGGGATCCTGGAACATTTGTTCTACCAGGGATATTCCACCTGGGGAGAAAAGTGGGGAGAAATAAGATGTATACTATTTACCCAGATGCATTTCATCCAAATTTATTTGTAAATATGCTCTATCTATTCCTCCTCATTTTCATTTTTCTTTTTTTTTTTTTTTTTTTTGGTGATAACTGGGGTTTGATCTCAGGGCTTCACACTTGCTACTTTTTAAAGTTATTCCACCTGCTCAATTTCTTTAAAAAGAAAAAGATTCTGGTCTCCTATGACCAGACCCTCCTCTTCCACCTCTACCTTTTTATCTGAGACACAAAATAGTTATAAAGAAAAGGGAAATTAAATTCAGGAACTTAAAACCTCTATGGAAAGGAACCAATTCAGAGGTAGAAGTTGAATACATATCACTTTCATCCTGCATCTATCACAATTCTGAAAACCCTGGTTCTTACCGTGACATTTGACATAGTCCCCAATTTGATCAGCCACCTCCGGAGCCAGACCTTTCTTTGCCACCATCTCATGTCTCACATCTTTCCAAGACATCTGCATAAATACCCAAATGTAAGCTCACCCCCAAGTCGTCCTTTCTCTAACTGGAAAAGTACATCTCACTTTCATTCAGTATGTATGTCATGAGTAGCTAATGGTATACTCAACAAAATGAGAGGCAACTTAAGAAATCCACTCACAATCTCTATTGTGAATAGATTCAACACACTGCTTTGGAATATCTCCTAACTTTCCCCCAAAAAACAGCTCACTTCCAGCCACTGTCTCCTTATTTTTCCCTAATGGTATAAATTTGAGGGGAGGACAAAACCCAGACAAGGTCTACTGAAGCATGTTTTCTTTCATTACCTTGTCTAGTTTGTCCATCGAGGCACAGATGGCACGGAATTTGCTTTCAGGAACACCGCAGACAGCAAAAATCCCATCTATAATCCGCCGGTCATTAACCTGTGAACTCAGTGTAACTGAAGTACCCTGTCAATGCTCTTTCCCCCAAAATAATAGCTGTCCCCAGTCTTTTGACTCTAAATTGGATAGAAAGGAAATTTCATAGGAAAAATATGTGCGTATTTAAACATATATTCAATATATTATATACATTTGAGTATATATTCGAATACATATGCGCACATATATATGTCTGTATACATGTATGACACATGTGTATGTATATCTATATACATATATACATATAGGTATGTACATATATAGAGACGTGTACACATACACACACACACATACACACATATATACACACACATGTATTACACACACACACATCAAGCCAAATCCAGACGTCTCCCCAAGTCCCCAGCCCGGGCCTCACCTTAATGAGAAAATCCCCCAGCTGCAATCCACTTAAGATCTCACATATGATCTTCAAACACTCTGCATCCGGGATCATAGGATCAAACTGACCAGCAATGTCGAAATCCTGTAGCAAAGAAAAAGACAAGAAAAAACCTCCACTGATCAACCAATTCCCAGGTTTACTACCAAGTTATGCTGTCCCTGTCAGGTCACTTACACACTGGCAGAATTCCCTGTAGCGGCCTTGGGCTATGGTAGGGCTCTCCCGCCGCCACACCTTTCCAACTTGGTAACGTTTCATCTTCTTCAATTTATTCATGGCCAAATAACGAGCAAAAGGGACCTCACATAAATAGATTAAGGAATAAAGATATTGTATCCAAAGTTTTAGGCCTAGCCTACAGGCATTAAGGAGGACTGGGCCTCTAGATGAAAAGGCTCTTCTCTGTTTTGTTTCTCACTATCCCTGAAACATAGCAGTACTTCCCATTCAATATATATATATTGACTAGTGTCACATGAAGGAATCTTATCTAGCAAAACTGAAACTTGAGCAGAAAAGAGGGAAGGCAGAGATAAAAAATGACCAAAGAAATTCACGTTTCAGCCATTTCATCCCATTCAGATCAATACCCAATGAAGTCAAGCTTCAGAATCTGAATTTACCTGTAACTTCAGACCCTTGTTTCTAAAAGTGCAGGTCAAGGACTACATGCATTTTAGTTACTCAGAATGTCTGTTTAAAATGCAAATTTTTGAACCCCACTTCAGTTACAGAATTAAGACTCCTTGGGGCCAGGCAGTAGTGGTTCATGCCTATAATCCTAGCAACTAAAGAAGCAGCGATCAGAAGGATCACAATTCAAAGTCAGCCTGGGCAAATAGTTCCAGAGAGTCTATCTTGAAAAAACCCATCACAAAAAAGGGCTGGTGGAGTGGCTCAAGTGGTAGAGCACCTGCCTAGCAACATGAGGCCCTGAGTTCAAACCCCAGTACCAAAAAAAAAAAAAAAAAAAAAATCTAGGGGTTGGACCAGGAATCTGTGTTTCTGCAAAATTCCCCAAGGGATTCTCATACACACTGAAATTAAATGACGGGGAAGAAAGAGTAATAGAGGGATGAATTTAACCAAAGCACATTATATACATGAATGGAAATATCACAATAAATTGCTTGTACAATTAATACATACTAATAAAAAAAGTTGGCGGGGGGGGGGGTGATTAAATGACAGGGCTCCAAGCCAGGCTCTGATGGTAGAACTGCCTTCTGGGAGAAACTGAAAGTAAAGGCTACTGCCAATCGAGTTATACCTCCACAGAGTTACTGTGTTTCCTTTTGTCAGAGAAAGCATTCTGGATTTGGAAAGAGATAGGTCAGGCTCCAGCACTCAGAAGGATACAGTAAGGTCATAGCGAAGGGACAACAGCTCTCCACCTTGATCCTTCAGGTCATAGATGAGCCCAAAGTTCTCTCCACACTTCTCAGTGAGCATTTCCTGCAGGAGTCAAACAAAAAGAGCCACAGTTCAAAGGATGACTACAGAACACAGATGAGTTCTTTGGAACACTGAAGGCGGGTTAAAAAAAAAGGGGGGGGGCGGTATTCCAGGCAGGGGAGACCCTTACCTTCAGTTCAAATGCTGGAGTGTCCAACCCTTTTGCTCCATGACGTTTAAAGCAGCTAACAACCATATCAAGAATTTTTTCTCTCACGACTATCTGCTGAGGACTATGATCCCTGGTACCCTGGAAAACAAAAGCAGCCCTAGTACAAAGACAAAAAAAAGCCCATTTAAGACAAAAAATTAAACTACACTTAAAATCTAAGGTTTAAAACTGAAAGTTCTGAGATCAGATAACCCTGATTTCCATCTAGGATTGCAATACTGGTAAATGAAGTTAGGGCCTCATGCATACTAGGCAAGCACTCTACCACTTGAGCCCCAGTCCCAGCTCTTCTTTTTGTTTAATTGAGTTTAAAAGGCTATTAAATGGGGTCAGAGAAATAAGCAAAGCAGAGGTCAATCCTCCATGACACTCAAATGAGACAGAGTAGGCAAAGGGCATTTACCTTTGGGATCTTGACAATAAAATTTGGTTTCTCTTGATCTGATTTCAGTTGGGCTGTTAACACTGCCTCTGCTACCTAGAAGAAAAAGGAATATGAGATGTGGCTCCCCTGGACACTGGTCAGATCTGTGACATCTCTGACCTATGGATCACCAACCAGCAAAGACCCTTGACAATGAGAAACAGGAGACTGAGCACCATTTTATCTATCCTGACCTCAGCATCCCACCTTCAAGCACCCACAATGTATATACAATTATGCATGCAACATATACAAGGTCAGGTCTCCACTTAAATACAGTGAAACAATATTCAATGTATTTGGAGTTTTTAAAATGCCAGAAAAGGCTCAAGCTCTGAGAACAGTGAGGGCACTGAACAACACTACTACCAACCACCGTGTAGGAGTGGAATTTATATGATCTTTTCTAGTTCTCAGTTCCTACTTAAACAGCAAAACTAAGAATTCTCAACAAGGTAGCATTACTTATCAGGCTTAGAGATAGGGGAAATGTAACTTGAAGAGGTCCAGTCCAAGAACAAAAAACAAATGTGTGGAAGGAAAAGGAATGGATTTCCTGATTGAACTCAACTCAAACTAATAGATGCTGTGACTGAACATAAACAAAAGATCTGAATTCTGTTGTTCATGATAGCATAAAGTAGCTACTCGGGGCTTTAGGGACTTTCCCAAGTAAGGCACAAAAAAATCACTGGCTTTATTACAACCAAGTTGCATGCCCTTCCAGAAAGAGAGGGTGTGGTAATTTCACACACTCTACTGGTGATTCTCTCCCCAAAGATAAGTACAATTCAAGTCCACAATCCCTCCTCCATAATTCCAAAATCCAAAAATCTCATAAAACTGAAAATGTATTCCTGAAATTCATCTCAGTTTCAATTCTTTTGTGAATTTAGTCTACTTAGGATCTTTAACCATCTCATTAATGGAACTATCCATAGGTTTTGAATAAGAAATACGTCAACAATTTTAGATTTAGTGTGTATCTGTATTAAAATACTTCCTTTCCATATATCAGTAGATAAATCACTTTTCAGTCTCCGTTTCGTCAAACTATAAAATGAAAACAAAAGCCCCAACCTCTCAAGATTGCTCTAAATATTAAATGCTTAGCTCAATGCCGGTACAAAATGGGCGCTCAGTAAAAACCAATTGTAATAATACAATACAGGCCACGCGTGTCCATGCTTTCAGACCTCGTCTCCCGGCCCCCGGCAGCCCCGAGACACCTCAGTCTGGCTCACCTGGCCATGACAACCTGCCTCCCGGATGCACACAGCGCGGGGAGGTCGCAGGAGCTGGCTGAGCAGTGTAGCCCAGGCCCTCCTGGGCAGGAGTCCGAGCTGGGGCATCGTGCAGCAGGCTTTCCGGGACAGGAGCCAAATGCCCGAGAAGCAGACAGGCAAGAACCCCACAAAGATGTAGAGCGCTGGAGAAGAGAACGTGGAACATGAAAGACCTGCGCACTGACTTAACCCCGCAGGCTGACCGCCGGTTGGCCCAAGCTCCCTGACCCGGAAGTAGTTTTTGCACTCGGTGGAGACTCTCTAGGCATGCGGGCGGGGGACTCGATAGCCGGAAGTCATCCCGGCTCAGGCTGCGTTCATCCCTGCGGGTGTAGACAGCAGTCAGCTTAAGGTGGCAATCGGAATGGCAGATCGAGCTGCGCTGGAGGAGCTGGTGCGACTTCAGGGAGAGCACGTACGGGGCCTCAAGCACCAGAAGGCCAGCGCTGAGCAGGTGCGACATAGGCGGCAGGAGAGTGGCCAGGCACAGTCAGGGACTTAAAACGGGGGTGGGCTGGCCAGAGGACAGGGATGTGGACGAAGGTACTGGGCTGGGGTGGGGAGGTTAGCCAGGGTGGGTCCCGACAGAAGCAAGGCTGGGCCCAGGCAGAGAGGTCTGCCCCAGTTCCTGATGTGGGAGGAATATCGAATGAATGGCGAGGGAAGAAGGGGCGACATATGGATCGCCCAGAGGCTTCTTTCCCCCACAGATCGAGGAGGAGGTGGCAAAACTCCTGAAACTGAAGGCACAGCTGGGCCCTGATGAAAGCAGACAGAAGTTTGTGCTCAAAACCCCCAAGGTAATAAGGGGCCTCTGAGAGAGTCCCTAATCCACTCCCAAGGGTGGGTAGATCTGCTTCCCTGAACCGGGTCATTGAAGAGGATCTGAAATAATGCAGAGAAAACCATAGTTGCTCTGGGTACTGGGCTGGATTAAACTCCACCTGAGTCATTCTGAGATGGCAAAGTGATAACAGAAATGACTCTGGGTGTTCAAGGGAGTCACCCTGCTGCTCCTACTCCTTTCATTCAGTAAATACTCTTTCAGGGCTTACATTACCCCTAGCACTGAATACACCATGGTAGACAATACAGCCTGCCCTTACGGAACTTACATTCTACTGAAAGAGACAGATTTAGGACAGATAATCCCACACATGGATATATAATTACAAATTGTGATCAGTGATAAAAAGAAATTGACAAGGATTCTCAGAGGAAGGCTTACTGAGGAAGAGATGCACTAATGGACTAAACAGATGGGTAGGAGATAGCCAGGAGAACAGTGTAAGAAAGATACGGCCACAGACTATGGAAGCTCTGAATCAAGAAAGACTGATACTTTCCAGGACTAGAACCCAATACAGAGGGACAGTAGGGTGAGGTGACATTGGAGATTCCTACCTCATCCTCTGGGATTTCAGTTAAGATGCCATTCTCTGTAAGTTCTATGGGTAAAAGTATTTACCTCTTTATTTGGGTTCACTTGGCATTTCATATTACTGTGCTGACTTTTAGTAGTTATTCCTGTGGTTTATTTACCTAATGCTGGGATTAGGTGCCTGTAAATAAATAGGAATGTATTGAATGTATTTGAAATTCAATTTCAAAGAAGAAGATGATCTATTTTCATGTGTTAAGGTTAATTCTTTGAGCTACTAAATTCATTGAGCTGTTCCTTTCCACACACAACTCTTGTTCAGAGGTTAAAGAGATAGTGTAAAATCTCAAAGTAATAATGATCAATAATTATTCCAATTATTGAGTAAGGTAAAAAACTTAATGAAGAATTTATGATAGATCAGTCTATCTAAACCCAATGATCAGTACCCCACCACCATCTTTTTTTCTTCTGATCAGTCTTAACATCACTTAAAAGCAGGAGAACCAGATATGTTCCTGCTGATATGATGCAATCAATAAGAAGTACATAGCACCACATATGAAGAATTCTTGCCAGGAGAATTTGAACTTGAATCTAATTAGGCCTTCAGACTAGCTACCAGTTTATAGGAAATACAAGATGGAGGAACATGTTAAAAAATCTAACTGTGGAAAACTTTTCAGTACAAGATTCCCTCAACAAATAAATGACATGACAAGAAAAAAAAAAAAAAGGAAGATGGGGTGTAACTCAGTGGTAGAGCACATGGTTAGCATGCTTGAAGCCCTGGGTTCCATCCTCAGGACCACAAAAAAAGGTGACTGTTGTAGATTAAATAGCTATATCAGCCAAATACAATGTATAGACTTTATTTAGAATCTGATTAAAATAAGCCAATGATAAAAGGATATTATTAAGGCAGCCAGGGGAAATTAAACATGGCTTTAAAATACTTAAGGAGAAAATGTCAGGGATTAAGTAAGAATAAATGTTACTGGTTGTTGAAGTTGGGTAATGAGTATATGGTGATCTATAATACTATTCTCTATAATGTACCTGAAATTTTCCATAATGTTAAGAAAAAATGAGGTTATGCTGAAAAGTTAATATTCGCTTTAGTTTACTGAAACATTTCTTTTTCTTTACTAGCATATATTATTTGTACAAAAGGATTTCGTTACAATACTTGTAGATGTGCATATGGTGTATCTTGTTCAAATTTATAACCTCTGTCCCTCCTCCTTTTCTCCCCTCCCACCTCCTTAAAACAATTTCAGTAATCTTCATAATTCTAAAGTACTTCAAACATATTTCCCCACACACACCCTCTCCTTTTGCCCTCCCCGCTCCTACTGATAACCACCTCCAAACAGAATCTGTAAACCTTATTTCTTTTTTTTTTTAATTTTTATTTTATTCATATGTGCATACAATGTTTGGATCATTTCTCCCCCCTTCCCTCCACCCCCTCCCTTAACCCCCCCTCACTACCCGGCAGAAACTATTCTGCCCTTATCTCTAATTTTGTGGAAGACAGAGTATAAGCAATAATAGGAATATAAAACTCATTTCTTAATGTGTGGTTCATATTTACAATAGTAATATGGAGACAAGACTTTCAAGGAGTCTTTGTGGTCAAACTATTTTGATGTTATTTTCTTTTTTTACTATGTTAACGTTTGCACTGAAAGTACAAAAGCACTCATGAATAGAACTCCTGGTATCTTAGCAGGAAGGAAAGAGGGGAAATTTACTGGACTTTGGTGTAGTATGAAAAAAGAATATCCACAGTTCTTTGAAAAGTTCATTAAAATACCCCTCCTTTTGTAACTACATATCTGTATAAGGTTAGATTTTGTACATATACTTCAACCAAAACGATACACAACAGAAGTGAGATATAAGAAGCACATATGAGAATCAGCTGTCTTATTAAAGCAGACATTAAAAATTTGTAAAGACGTAATCAGTGCCATTTTTCTCACTTGATTTTTTGTTTTGGAAAATAGTTACACTTTCCTAAAATATTATTTGTGTTAGTTTGTCATGAATGTTAATAAATATTTTAATTTCTAACCCAGTAAATATTGTAAGTATAATCCACTTTGGATTTATAGTGAAAGTGTTAAGAGATCCTGAGACCAAAGACTTTGGAGTAGATTGTAAAAGCCCAGACTAAAAGTTCTGACCTGGAAGGAGAACAGAGTTCTGCCACAAACTGGCTACATGGCATAAGCTAATGACTTAAGCTCTCAACATCATTGATTTACTAGTAAAATGTATCTGCCATGCCTGTGTCTTATAGCTGTTATTGAAACAGGTAACAAATAGTAATATTAATGAGAATTTAAAAGACAATTATGGGGAGAGAAGTAGAGGTTGAGAATAAGAAAGGGGGTGAATTTGATCTAAGTACAATATATGCATGTGTGTAAATATCATGAAACCCCTTTGTACAATGTATAATTTATGCTAATTTTTTTTAATTATGTTGACTCAACTCATTGAGCTAGTTTGAGTTGGTTATGTGCTTGTCATCAAGTAGGTTTGTAGGTGTTTTTTGTTGGTTTTTTTGTTTTTGTTTTTGTTTTTGGCAGTACTAGGGTTTAAACTCAGGGGCTCAGGATTCCTAGATAGGTGCTCTACTACTTAAGCCGCTGTGCCAGTTCTGCTCTGATTATTTTGGAGATGGGGTCCTATGAACTATTTGACTTGGACTGGCCTCAAACCTCAATCCTCCCCATCTTAGCCTCCCAAGTAGCTCAGATTACAGGCATGAGCCACTAGCACCCAGCTAAGTATGCAGGGAAATTTTATTTATTTGTGGTACTAAGGTTTGAACTCAGGAACTTGTGCTTGCTAGGCAGGCACTCTACCACTTGGGACACACCCCCAGCCTAGGGAAATAGTCTCCTATTCCCAGAAAATGTTTTTAGAGCACTGCTTAGAGAAAAGTATTTTAAGAGTTCTAGAAAATAGGGCTGGCAGAGTGGCTCAAGTGCCTAGCAAGCAAGAGGCCCTGAGTTCAAATAAAAAGAATTCTAGAAAACAGAATCAAACTTAAAAGGAAATAGAATGGGATGTAGAAGGCTGTCAGCAAATGAATGTAGGAATTAATAGGTAATTATTTGTTTTGTGTTACTACACAGTGGCCTGTAGGAAAATCTAAGTTTTGGTCAGGATTTGCTTTCTTCATTGTTTAGATCAACCTTACATATTTTCAGAAATTATTACTCTTTTTGTTTTAAGTCTCATCCTTGGTTCTTTGACTGATTTTGACTCTAAGGGCACAAGAGACTACAGTCCTCGGCAGATGGCAGTTCGGGAAAAGGTGTTTGATGTAATCATCCGGTGCTTCAAACGTCATGGTGCAGAAGTGATTGATACACCTGTGTTTGAACTAAAGGTGAGAAATGGGGGATGAGAAGCTGCAAAGTAGAAGAGTGAGTATATGAAAACCAAAGAGAATAACAAAGACAGTCTGTGGTTACTAGAGGTTAGAACTTAACATATGAATAAGAGGGACACACAGTTCAACCCATGACAACAATCCATGTACATATGTTTGAGTCTACACACTGGCAGTTTTCAGGCTTTTTAACTCTTTGCCAGTCTGGTAAGTAAAATATGTTATGCCCTATTGAAGACCTCACTGGGCATGGACTGCTACAGTAATGCCCTTAAGACATTCAGTCTTAGCTTTTAACATTGTTCAGATATCAGATGGTATAAAAACACCTCATGTTTGCTGGTCTGATAATTCATTCCTAGAAGCTTGTCCTCAAGAAAAATAATTTTTTTTTTTTTTGGCAGTGCTGGGGTTTGAACTCAGAGCCTCGTGCTTGCTAGGCAGGCACTCTACCACTTGAGCCACTCCATTAGCCCTTTTTTTGTGTGGGCTGTTTGCTCTGGGGCTGGCTTCAAACCTCGATCCTCCTGATCTCTGTCCTGAGTAGCTTTATACCCAAATATGTTTATTGAAATGTTAAGAAAATTTTGTTTTAAATTGCAATAACCTGAATATCTAACAGTAACATTAGCAAGAAAATAAGTACATAGCTTTTCCTCACTGGAATAATATACATCTTTTAAAAACAATACTTTAGTTCTATCATTAAATAGAAGAAAATCAACTCAAAATGGGTGTTTTCTTTTAATTGTAACTACATCAAACATGTAAGCACTGGAATAAAAAGAGGGAATATAGACACATGGAAACTAGCCAATTATTCATGTTAAAGTAGTAGGTTTTATTCATAATGTTCTTTTAGGGCCTGAGTATGTACCTCAGTGGTAGGACGCTTTCCTACCAAGGCCTGAGTTCTACCCCTAGCACAGCAAAAAATAAAAATAAAAAGTTCTTTTAAATTGTTATATTTATTAGTGTGGTCACATTTCTTTATGGTTTCTCTAGGAAACACTGACTGGAAAGTATGGAGAAGACTCAAAGCTTATTTATGACCTGAAGGACCAGGGTGGGGAGCTGCTGTCACTTCGTTATGACCTCACTGTATCTTTCTAAACTTGGGCTCTTTGGTGTGTGGGGTGGGGGAGGGAACCTGGGTTTGAACTCATTGCTTTGTACTTGCAAAGCAGGCACTCTGCCACTTAAACCACACCTCCACTCCATTTTACTTTGGTTATTTTAGAGATGGGGGTCTCGCAAATTATTTGCCTGGGCTAGCCTCAAACTGCAGTCCTCCCAATCTCAGTCTCCCAAGTACCTAAGATTACAGGCATGAGCCCCAGGCACCCAGCTAAACTTGGGCTCTTGAGACTTTGGATGGATTGGCCCTCACTGGGCTGGGGCTATTTCTAGCCTCACATTTAGGGACAGGCAGACATAGATAAGATTAAATATGAAGCCTCTGGCAATTAGGGGAATTGTTTCTCAAACCAGGATGAGACTTTGGCTAAATAGAACATAGCCTTAGAAATCTTCTGAATCCTGAATGAGACCTCAGCTTTCTGTCAGGGCCCAGTTCCCAGTTCTATAATCCCCTGGCTCTTGAATACCTCTCCCCTACCCTGTCCAGTGGACAAAGTTTTCTCTAATTGACCAGTAGCACATTTTCTTTATTCACAAACTACACAGAGAATCAACTGCTTAGGAATTCTACAAGGGGCCCATTTTCTGCTGTGTCAGTCTGCCCAGACCTTTGCTGTGCTCAGCATAGTCCAGGGAGACACTACCAAAGAGGAAGAAGCCTTAATCTTTTTGAGACTTTAGCTGCCCCTGTGGTAGCACAGTTGATTCTTTCTCATGTTCAGAAATGTTAATCTTATGGGTGGTGGTTTTACCCAGAAAGAAGGGTGGGGAGTGGGGGGTTAGATCCAGCTTCTGTGAGTAATGATAACTTTGAAACAGCAATAGGAGAGTCTTTCTCCTTAACTCTGTCATCAGGTTCCTTTTGCTCGATATTTGGCAATGAATAAACTGACCAACATTAAACGCTACCACATAGCAAAAGTGTATCGGCGGGATAACCCAGCCATGACCCGAGGCAGATACCGGGAATTCTACCAATGTGTGAGTGTTGGGAAACTGTGGGATACAATGGGTAGGTAATTCAAGCTCTTCCTCAAGTCAGTAGAATGAACAAACCAAATGCCCCAGATAATGCTGTTAGGTATTTTCTGCAGTGTTTTATGTAGATTTCACAATGACTTTGTAGAGAGTGGAAGAGAGGGATTTTCTCCATCTTACTTGCATATGAGTAAACTCAATACTCAACAGATGAAGAGATCTTAGGGGTAAAACAAGCAATCCTGGCCCATTGTTCTTTATATTAAACCACAGCATGAGATGAGGAAATTTGAAGTATCTAGATTGATAGCAGGCCTTCTGGTAGATAAAAAAAGTAGTGAAAGACTCAGGCTGAATAATTATGCCACAGCAGAAAGAGGAATTAGGGAAGAAGATGATGAAGAAATAGATGATGAAGGAAAATGGTCCCACAGATGAAATGGACACTGAGACTCTTGAGAACCCAAGAATGCTGGGATTTTCCTCTGAGGTTATGATTAGACATAGAGAAAGAAGGGAGCATGGGAAGGCCTGTGCCTGAGTGCGAAGAAAGCAGAACTCCCAGGATTCCTCCATTAAGATGACTAAATCCCTGAGGACCTCTATAGCCACCCCTTTCCCTACAGGATTTTGACATTGCTGGACAATTTGACCCCATGATCCCTGATGCAGAGTGCCTGAAGATCATGTGTGAGATCCTGAGTTCACTTCAGATAGGTGACTTCCTGGTCAAGGTCAGAGCTGAAGGGGCTGGGAGGGGAAGATAGGGCCTGGCCTCTCAGGAGAAAATCCTATGCAGAGGGACCAGTAGCCCAAGTGACCAAGCCTATTGAGGGTCACAGAAAGAGATTCCCTCCTCACTATGCCTTGGGTCCCCACAGGTAAATGATCGGCGCATTCTGGATGGGATGTTTGCCATCTGTGGTGTTCCTGATAGCAAGTTCCGTACCATCTGCTCCTCAGTGGACAAGCTGGACAAGGTAACTACCCAAACACCTAACTTCTTTTCCCAGATCCCACCCTACTTTAAGCAGTGGAAAACAAGATTAGGAGATGTGACTGCCTCTATGCATTGGAGGAGGATTTGTCCCAGCATGTAGGTTGAAGGGCAGTTTCTACTAGAAAACTACTCTCCCAAGAAGGGTCCACATTTGTTTTGTGGTTGGGATGTTGCCCAGTGGTCTCTGACTAGTGTTGTCTGACCCAGGTATCATGGGAAGAAGTGAAGAATGAGATGGTGGGAGAGAAGGGCCTTGCGCCAGAGGTGGCTGACCATATTGGGGACTACGTCCAACAGCATGGTAAGGAGCAGAACCCAGCTTCCGCACAGCCATGCCTCTGTCCTCAGTTGTACAGTTGAAGAGTGTGTGTGTGTGTGTGTGTGTGTGTGTGTGTGTGTGTGTTAAGGGAGAGAGAGGTGTGTTCATGTGCACAGTACTTGCAATCCAGGCAAAAGATAGACCCACTGCTTTTTTCTTCTTGTCAGTCTGGCCCACAAATTTGTCTCCCCAGGCGGAGTGTCCCTGGTGGAGCAGCTGCTACAGGATCCTAAACTATCTCAAAACAAGCAGGCCTTAGAGGGCCTGGGAGACCTGAAACTGCTATTTGAATACCTGACCCTGTTTGGCATTGATAACAAGGTGAGTCAAGTTGGGATGGGAGACTGGCTGACCTCTGGCTGATCAGGTCCTTGATATTAATCTGGTACTGGCCATATCCTTATCTCCACAGATCTCCTTTGACCTGAGCCTTGCTCGAGGGCTGGACTATTATACAGGGGTGATCTATGAGGCAGTGCTGCTACAGACCCCAACTCAGGCAGGGGAAGAACCCCTGGGTGTAGGCAGCGTGGCTGCTGGAGGGCGCTATGATGGGCTGGTGGGCATGTTTGACCCCAAAGGGCGCAAGGTACCATGTGTAGGACTCAGCATTGGGGTGGAGCGGATCTTCTCCATTGTAGAGCAGAGACTGGAGGTAAGTCCTAGAGGTGAGTAAAAGACAATCTGGGCAGTTGGTGGCTCCCAAGCTACCTTTGATATTTAAGGGAGTAAATGGTGCTGCTTTTGACAAAGGAGCATCTCTCAGAAATGCAGAAAAGATGATCACTGGTCTTCACAGAGTCTCACTTCATTATAGGCCAGTTTTATGGATTTTTTTTCATTTTTATTAGCACTTATTCATTGTATGGGGGGTTCATTGTGCCAATTCCCAATAGCCTTACATTGTACATTGGTTAGATTGCCCCCACCATCTCCACCACCCCTCTACAACCTCTCCTCTCCCCACTTAAAGCAATTGAAAGAGGTTTCATCATTCTATTTCATGTATGTATATGAAACCCATCAACCATATTCCTTCGCTTTCATCTCCTTCATTCACCCCAAACACACACAAGTACCACCCCAGTTTTAAGGATCTCTAATCTTTCTCCACTAGATCATCTGTGCTGGGCACCTTCCCTTGGAACTGTCTGGAATCTAGGCTGCTGTATTCAAGACTTAGATCTTCCTCATGACATAATACTTAACATTTTTACTGCCATGTACCAGGCACAAGGCTTGCTTCTTTTCATTCATTAGCTAACATAATTCTAACAACAGCCCTCTGAGAGTAGCTACTTCTATTTGCATTTTTTTCAGATGAGGATACTGAAGTGCTAAAAATTACACACTTTGTCAAGTTTATAAAACTTGTGTCAGAGTCAGAATGTGAATCCAAGCAATCAAAACTCCAAAGTCTTGCCTATAACTACTCTGTAATACTCACTCTGTCTCAGTGGGAAGCATGTGTCTGAGGTCCTGGAATTCCTCAGGCTGCTTCCATTCTCTAGCATCTACAGTAACACCAATGAAGCCCCTCATGACCTCAAGCCCTTATTTGTGGTGCTACTCTTAAACGGCTGGTTGTGTTTGATCCTAGGGAATGTATGGCAACCATCCCAATAACTCCTAATCCTTTTCTGTAGGGCAGACACCACCCATCTTTCCCAGTAAAGGTTCTAGTAGGCACCTTACATTGTAAGAACTTTAAAAACTGTTTTCCAGAAAATGTCAAGGGGTATCAACATTCTCCCTTTCTTCCCCTCCCCAATCCATCCACAAATACCTTGGGTTCTGCCCTGTAAGTGGAGTATGCGGGGCATAGTCTCACGAATAGGCAGGTAGAAAGTGGGAACTAAAACTCCAGGGGTGATTTGATTGCCTGGGGTGGGCTCATAGTAATACTTTTTTGTGAATGTTCTTATGAACTCTTAACCAGACAGGTGGAGAAAAGCTTGAAATTACTATAAGTAAGTTTCCTTTGCCCTTGCCCTAAATTATTTATTCTCATAAGTCATATGTACAAGTCAATTCATTTATCTTTCTAAGAGCTACCATATGTCATGTGGCTAGATGAGAAGACTGGTGGAATTCACTGAGTTGGACCTGGTCTCAGAATCCTAACTAAAGCTTGAAGAGCTTTGCCCTTTTTTCTCCTTGGTGGTGTTAGTCTTGCTTTCCTTCTTTTTTTTTTTGCGGTGCTAGGGCTTGAACTCAGGCCACTCCACCAGCCCTATTTTTGTGAAGGCATTTTTTCGAGATAGGGTCTTGAGGAACTATTTGCCAGGGCTGGGTTTGAACCACGATCCTTCTGATCTCTGCCTCCTGAGTAGCTGGGATTACAGGCGTGAGCCACCAGCATCTGGCAGTCTACCTCTCTCTTATCTGCCCCTTCCCCAGGCTTTGGAAGAGAAAGTACGGACCACAGAGACACAGGTGCTTGTGGCATCTGCACAGAAGAAGCTGCTGAAAGAGAGACTGAAGCTTGTATCAGAGCTATGGGATGCTGGGATCAAGGTACAGGAGGCAAGCCACAGGGTGGCAGCAAACTTGGGGTACTAGGCACAAACTACATACAAGTTCACCCTTAGTGCTTTCTGCCATTACTTCTTGGAGTGGATCTAAGAGCAAGGTGCCAACTTGGGCCCCAGGAGGTTGTCCCTGAGGACAGCAGAGGCCAGCCTTCATCTTCTGCCCTGGTCCCATGCAGGCCGAGCTGCTCTACAAGAAGAACCCAAAGTTACTGAACCAGTTGCAATACTGCGAGGAATCAGGCATACCACTGGTGGCCATCATCGGCGAGCAGGAGCTCAAGGACGGGGTCATTAAACTACGTTCAGTTGCTAGCAGAGAAGAGGTGAGGGCGCAGGCAGGAAAGCTAAGGAACAAGGAGTGTTTTCCATGTTGGCAGACCCATGCCCATTTGAGACCCGAGCAAAGCCTGACATAGTACCAATCTGTAAAGAACTTAAAGGCTTAACCTGTTACTGTGATCGTGATAGTTAAGCTCTCCAATCCCCCATACACAGTGTCTTTCTAGCCCCCTAAGAGATACTGTCTACCAGGGGTGCCTGAGTTCCTGTTCTCAGCTGAGCCAAACTTGCTGCCTAGAAGTAGGCACTCAGGGAGCAGTGGAACGGAAGATGCTTATACCACCTTCTTCCCCTATCCTGGCCAGGTGGATGTCCGAAGAGAAGACCTTGTGGAGGAGATCAGAAGGAGAACAAGCCAGCCCCTCTGCATCTGCTGAACTGAGCAAACTACTGGAGGAAGCGGGCCTGGCACTATATGAGGCTAAACCAAAACTGCATATGTACTTCAACAGCTTTGCATACTTCATGTTCCAGCAGAACACCTGAAGAGTGGTCAGAACAGAGACTTTTGTTTTTATTATGATTATCTTATTTATAATCACTGGCAAAAAAAAAAAAAAATGGCCAGTTACTGTCCCTTGGGGATTAGTCCAGTTTCTGCCTCCTAAGCTCCTGGGATGGACCTGAGATGACCTCATCTGCAGGGCCCCACATCAGATGGAGCAGCCTCCCCACAACCTGTGGCCAAAGGTCTAATAAAATGCCTCAACCATTGGTGCCTGTCTGTCACTGATGCCTCGCTCTTCCTTCCGCATCAGCTTGACCTACACATTCAGACCACTTTAGCGGTGCAAAAGGAAAGAAGAGAATGAGCCCACCAGTCCTTCCCTTCCCCAGGGTGCAGAGCTGCAGTCAGCGGACAGCCCCACCGCCTGAGGAGTGGCTCCCTAACGATGGGACCTGCAGGATTTCTACCTTTCCACCTGAGGGTCCGAGGGTCTACGGCGCACGTGCAGTAGATGCCACCGCCCCCCGAGAGGCGGGGTCGCGCTCAGAGCCAATGAGAGCTTGGGAGGGGTGGAGGGTAGGGAAGCTTCCAGAGGCCGGATGGGGGAGAGGAAGTTTTAAAGAGGGCACAGGCGGGTTTGGATTCCAGCCATGCAGTCCAAACGGGAGTGTGAGGTAAGTTGCTGGCGCTCGCGGTGGGGGTCTTAAAGCCCCGCCTGAACAGGGGGTTGGTCACCCACCATCACAGGCAAGATGGGGGGCGTGCTCGGTTATCTCCCATTCCAACCTGGTTTTTTCCTCTTAGCAATGGTGTGAGAGGGTGAATCCAGAGAACAAGGCGGCCCTGGAGGCGTGGGTCAGGGAAACGGGCATCCGCCTGGTGCAGGTGAACGGGCAGAGGAAATATGGCGGGCCACCCCCAGGTACGGTAGCTGCAGCTCCTACACCTGTTGTGCTACACCAGCCTCGACGGCTACGCCCGCACCTTTTGGGGGAGGGGTTACATTCGGAAACCCCGAATTACCCGACCTTGGGCCCCTAAGTTGATGAGGACACTTGTCTACGACTCCCCATCTACCCTCCCGTGTAGGAGGGCAGTCGGTCTTGATGCACCTATTCTGTGGCAGCCCTGGTGTTAGCTTGGATACCTAATTATTCCTACTGCCCAGACGCCGTAGGGTTGTCCCATTTTATATACGCGTTTGCGTATACCATCCGCTCCTTTGCTGGGTCCTTGGGCCCAGAATCATCGGTCGATGACAGTAGCCCTCCTCCACACCCTCTTCCCCCAGGCTGGGTAGGCAGCCCGCCGCCGGCTGGGTCAGAGGTGTTTATCGGACGGCTGCCTCAGGACGTGTATGAGCACCAGCTGATCCCACTATTCCAGCGCGTGGGCCGCCTCTACGAGTTCCGCCTGATGATGACCTTCAGCGGCCTGAATCGCGGCTTCGCCTATGCGCGCTACAGCTCGCGGCGTGGCGCGCAGGCCGCCATCGCCACGCTGCACAACCATCCGCTGCGGCCCTCCTGCCCACTGCTGGTGTGCCGCAGCACCGAGAAGTGCGAGCTGAGCGTGGACGGGCTGCCGCAGGGTGTGACCCGCCGCGCACTACTGCTCGCGCTGCAGCCGCTGGGTCCCGGCCTGCAGGAGGCCCTGCTACTGCCCAGTCCCGGGCCGGCATCCGCGCAGATTGCGCTGCTCAAGTTCAGCTCCCACCGCGCCGCCGCTATGGCCAAAAAGGCCCTGGTGGAAGGTAGGGGTGGAGGCTGAGGGAGGGCGGCTGGTTGGGAACAAACGCTTTACACATCTGAGGTTAGAAGTCCGAAAATCCTAAATCAAGCATGTGTGAGCTCGTAGTCTGACACTGTTTTATTTATACTAGTGCTCTACAACTACCACTATCTAAACTTAAAACTTTCAATGCATTATCTCCTGATTTTAATCTTTAGTATTCCAATGGAAAAATTGACTTGCCCAAGGGAATTCAGCTGGGTCTACCTTTTATCTACTGTAGAACCTGTTTTCTCAGACAGTTGTGAGAATTAACAATGGGTACTTAACACATTTCCTGATTCATAGCAACTGTTGACATGAAAGGTTAGCTGTTCTAATAGTTAGCAGACCAAGTCCTCCTCCCAAGAAACTCAAGGTAGCAGTTATTACATCCCTTTTATAGATAAAGGTAATGAAACCTAGAAAAATTGTTTAACAGAATTACACCATCAGGTAATGGTGAAGCTATATATTAAAAACAGGCCTGTGTTACACCCCTAAAGGGCTTGCAAACCCTGAAGGCTTGGGCCCAGGGCTTAGACCTGTCCTGTCTCTCCCCTTTTTTCCTGCAGGGCAGTCACGCCTCTGTGGAGAACAGGTGACTGTGGAGTGGCTCAAGCCAGACCTGAAGCAACGACTCCGCCAGCAGCTCATGAGTCCCTCCCTGCAGCGCCTACAGCCAGATAACAGCCAACTGGCCCTGACCAGGAGCAAGCTAGGGTCCCAAGGGGCTCGGGCTGCCCTGCAGCTGCTGTGCCAACGAATGAAGCTGGGCAGCCCAGTGTTCCTCACCAAGTGTTTGGACACAGGGCCTGCTGGCTGGCATCGCTTCTGGTACCAGGTGGTGATCCCTGGGCATCCAGTGCCTTTCAGTGGCCTTATATGGGTTGTGCTGACCCCAGATGGGCAGGATGGGCATGAAGTGGCTAAGGATGCTGTGTCTGCACAGTTGCTGGAGGCACTGAGTGAGTCTGGGGCCAGCCTCTTGTGGTCTGCAGGGACTGAGACTGGTACTCTGGTGAAGCAGTGACATCACTTCCTCACCCTCACAGGCAGCCTTAACAGGTAGACAGAGCCTATGTCAACCCCCAGCCCAGCAGGCCTGGGCAGCCACTATCTGATCCCAAAGTGGGGAGGGACATGGGCCTTCCAACAGCCTCTCTGCTGGGGCAGGGCCCCACTGCACCTGGGGGCTGCTCAGGTCTTAAGTTGTGGCACGGAAGCTTGCTCTCTCCCTCTGAACCTAGGGTCTGACTTGACCTTGTGAGACACACAGAAGTTTAGCATGAATCTTTATTTCTTTGTTTTTATAATTGAGGACTGGCTGAGCCAAAAGGTGAAATTCTGTCCTTCATTTCCACCACTTGTCATGGTTTTGGTTTATTTGGTTTTTTCTATGCTGGTTGTATTTATATTAAACCCCTGGTTAGTACACATATGTGTCTGTGCTGTCTTGCCACAGCTGAAGGTTTTACATCGATAGTAAGCAGCTACTACCAAACATACCTCCCCACTTCAGTGCCCTGAGTGTGTATAACTCTTTATAATGCTCTCCTGTGGCATGTAAATTTATCTTAGGGCTGGAGGTGTAGTTCAACAGTAAGATTTAAGGGCTTAGCTTAGCATACGCAAGTCCTCTTTGGGGATCCATCCCAGGAAACAAAACTGTTGCTCCATGAAGACCTGTCCTGAAGATTCTGCTCATCCGTCTCTTCAGTCACTGTCATCCTCACTCTCTTCCTGTGGTTCTTTAGAATCCTCTCCATCTTCCCTCAGCCCTGCGAAGAAGTCATCAGTGCTCCAGGCCTTGCTGTTCAGAGCACGCAGAGACCCTCCCTTTTTCTTGCGTCGACGGTAGTCATTCACCACCACAGTTCGCAGCTGAGCCATATCCCAAAACTTAAGGTGCTGGTCATGGCCACTGCTGGCCAGGAAGCGACCGCAGTGGGAGAGAGCCAGCTCCTCCACAGGCTCCCCAGCATGCTGGCCCACAGTGCCTACCACTCGATTTGGCAGGATGTTCACAGCCCTAGGCAGGGAAAACAGTGTTGGGTTCTGGCTAGCTGGACTTTGCCCTTCCTGTGACCTGAGGGCTGTCCTGCTTTCCTCACCTGATGATTCCATCGGTGGAGCCAGTGCACAATAGACTCTCAGTGACTGGTATCATGCAGTCAATGGACTCAGCTCTCAGGGCAAAACGGTCACTTGTGGCCCCAAAACCATTCCAGTTAAACAGGTAGATGGTACCTTCACTAGAGCCACAGGCCACCTTCTTTCCACACTGCAGGGAATAAGGCAAAACCATGTCTGTAGAGCTACCTCAAACCAAGCGCCTAGGCTGAAATCCCATCCCATCATACCCAGCTGTACTTTCATGAGGGTGATAGAGGTCAGGTCTCCTGGCTGAGGCTCTGAAAGTAGCTCGAACCTGCATCTCTTGATGTTGAAGACACCAAGGCAACCATCCCCACTGTAGAGACCAGAGCAGCAGGCTTAATGGAAGCTCCCTTTGAGGAGGGGAGGAAGACAGAGGCAGATACAAGGTTTTACCTGGCTGTCAGCAGCAGCTTTTTGTCTGGGTCCAGAGCCATGTCAGCAATGTACTCTTCATGCTGCCTCATATCCATTAAAGGGCCCTCCTTCCGCTGGTCCCAGAGCCGGAGACCACCTGTGTCATCCCCAGTGGCCAGAACATTCTCATCTACCAGCAGCAGACTGTTGATGGGAGCACTGGAGACAGATGCAGAACCTTAGAGCATCTCTGTTCTAATAAGAACCTCCTGGTTCTTACCCCTCACCTCCATACGTATACACACACTTTGCTCCTCTTACCCATGAGCCTTGGAAATTCGTCTTTCCAATTGGCCTTGCTCCACATTTAGAAAATGGATTGCTTTGTCCTTGGAGACAGTAACAAGTTCTAGAGGAAAAGGTGCGCAGGTCACAATATTGCTCGTTGCCCCATCCACACATTGCTGTCTGCCTTCCCAAGTACTTACTCAGCCCATCTTCAGAGAAGACCACGGCTCGGCAGGACTTGAGGTGGTGACCTGAGGACCAGACCTCCTTGGTTTCTCCTTCTTGACACGAGTAGGAAAAGCTGAAGAGAGGGGGAAGAAGATGAAGGACCCCAGATCCTACCTGGAATGCAGAGAGTAGAGACCAACTAGGTAGACCAACCTGTGCACCTACCTAAGAGTTCTTGCTTACACACCTCCAAATGCAGTGAGCTTACCACTCTGTTTATCTATTTCCAGTAAGCTTCAAGTGTTAGGTCTTGTTTCAGTACACATTAATTCAAGGTATATTTACACAGAAATTTTTTGTGACCTCACCCCACCCTGTCCCTCTTCCAAAGCCCCGAAAGTCTGGGTTTCTATCACTATAGAGAGCAGAGAAACTCATTAAACCAATGACAAACTGGGCATAGTGGTGTACACCTGTATTCTAGACACTCCAGAGGCTAAGGCTAGAGGAGTGTTTGAGCCCAGGATTTTGAGAACAGCTCAGGCAACATAGAACAAGTCTCAAAAAAAAAAAAAAAAAAAAGTGCCAAAAGTAGAAAGGGTAAAAATGAGACAAGGTATTTGCACTCCAGGGCCACAGAAGCTAGAGAAAGCCAGTTAATTACAGCACATTGTGAGGAAAGATGGAAATGAAGGTGGAGGCATGCACAGGGCCCTGGTTTCAATCCCCAGCAGGGGGTGGAGGGAGGAAAGGAGGTGGAGCAGAGAGGTACCAGTCTTTAAACTCAGCTTTGAAGCAAGTACCTGGCCCAGGAATATTCCCAGAACCTGCCTCAGAGCAGATCCTCAACAAGGGCTAAGTGTGTAAGTGCTTAATTGCTAATTAGTTCCAGACAGAACTGGCTTTGCTCATTATTCTCTGTCCCACTGCCTAGCATGAAAAAGTTGCTTAATAAACAGATTGAATACTTGAGAAAAAAAAGCCCTGACAGGCTGTGAATGCTCAGTTTGCTTGAGGTTGAGGTTGGATCCCCAGAATCACAACCAAAAAAAAGCCCTAGAAAGCTAAGGTGATAACATGTCAGTGGATCAAGAGATCACTTGACGGAGAAGGGGCAGCAAAATGGAGGCAGGTATCAATATCACTTCTAAGACAAAGATAAGCAATGAGGAGGGCTCAAGAGGCAGGTAAGTGGTATGGTTGAATATGGAAAGATGGACCGGGCTTGAGATCATATAGGGCAAGCAGAAGTCTGAATTTAATCCTACGGGGAAAGGAACATCTTCAGAATCGTCATGGGTAGCAGAGTTGGAGGCCCACCAAAAGGTAGTGTCTGAGGGTGAAGAATTAGTGAGGACAGCCAAAGGATGTTCTCCAGCTTTTCTGAGACAGAAATTGACAAGAAACGGAAATGGGGAACATAAAGAAAGGTGGAGGTCTAGGGTAATTCTCAAAGCACTATAAATATGGATAGTAGTAGAAGAAAACCTACATTTATTAAATAACTCAGGGGCTGTACTGAACTCCTGTCCCCTCTGCAGGCTAGGTGTTTTTATTTTCAGAGATGAAAATACAGAATGGCAAAGGCCATTACAACTATTGAAGGGTTGAGTTTAAATTCACTAAATATCATAACTCTCCCAATTGTAAACCTTCGATGACTTTCCACCATTTACAGCCTATATATAGAAAGTATGAGCACTTAGCACTTATCTTGAACTGGAGGTAGATAAAATGAACAACAAAATGGACTAGAGATTACACTCCAGAAATGTTTTTCAAATTCTTGTCATAACCCACTAGTGAGCTGCTATCGGCATTTTGTTTGTATGCAATAATGAAAGAGTAAAATGAACCAGAAATTGTCAGAATGCATCATTCATTAATGTAAATGATATTTTAACTGCAGGGCAAGGTCAGAAAAGTTTGAAAAGCATTTCCTTAATGGAGGAGACAAGGATTTAAATAATTACAAAGCAAATGTATGGGTACAAATCATTCTAAAGTTTATGAGGGAAAAGTACTTTGGTGTTTGGTGCCATGGGCAACATCTAACGTATCAAATTTAATCCTGGGCATGAAAGAAGAGGAAAGAGATGCTGAGAACCCAGGGACAGAAGGTAAAAGTGAGGGGGAAGGGAATTTTCCAAGCAGAAGGAATAGTGTACACAGAAGCTGAGGCTCCAAGATACTAAGAAAGGTAAGGCACAGAGAGTAAAAGGAAGAGCAAGGGAAAGACCAGGTGGAAGGCGCCTTGAAAGTCGGATTAAGGAGTTTGTTCCAAATCCTAAAAGCAAAATATCGAGCGGTTTTACAAGGGAAAGATCAGTTAAGGGGCAAAAGCAAAAGTTGAGCCTCTCTTAGGGAAATAACAGGGCCTCAGACGACTTTTTGTCCTGCTATGGTATCGGCTACTTTATCGTTTCAACTCTTTCGACATCGTCGTTACCTTTTTTTATTTTTATTTTTTCCAGGTGGGGACTGGAGTTCTTTCGACAGCTTTGTATGACAACTTATTTATAAATGAACGTTACTGAACGAATCAGACCGGATGAGACTTGCACAATTTGTCTCTGCATCAATCTCTCCTCCCTCCTGGCCCCAGCTCCATCCCTGAGGAGCTTCAAGACCTGGCGCCCCGCGGCCCAGCACCTCACTCACACGAACACGTCCCCGTCTACGTCCCCTGCCGCCAGCAGGTCTCGGATCGGATGGAACGCCAGGCCACTGGCCGGCGCTTCCAGCACGATGTCTTCCGGCGTGTCCCGGATCCGAGCTGGAGCTTCAGTGGAGTCGGAGTCCTCGTCGCTTCCATCGTCTGCAGACCTCTCCTCACACGTGAGATCCATGCTAAGTAAACTCCCAAGCCGCCAGCCCAAGAACCGCTGGAGGTGTGGCCCACGACACGCTTTCGCGCCGGGGACGCTGCGGAACCGGAAGTGCATCCGAGCGTACGTCAGAAGAGGCGGGCCAGCCGTCCCTGAAATGGGTGGGGCGGACCAAGAGGCCACGCCCCCAAGGTCTTGCCCCTTACTTGTCGGGTGAGACCTGCGTTTGGGTTAGCTAGAACATGCGACTCTCTCGGTATTCTCCCTCCCTATTCACTTTGTTTGTGACAGAGGTAAAAGTGAAGAGGAAAGGAGTTTTTCCCAGCATGTGAAAAGGAGCTGAGGCTTCACATAAAGTTGAGAACTACATATAAGTTCCTTCTCATCCTTCCCCATGCTGACAGATGCTTCCTCCAGCAACCAGGAGAACACACTCAGGACAGGAAAGACAGATACCAATCATTCTAGATTGCTGAAACCCACGACTATGGCAAGCAGCAGGCAGGGACCTCAAAAAGCAACCAGGTCCATACAGCCAGAAGATGACATACAGGGGTGGTGAACAGGAGGCAGCCCGCCAACACACTCAAGCCCAAAATATTGGGGCAAAAGAACAATGTCCTGCTACCGTTCCCACAGTTTGGCTTCTATTGTCAGCAGGCCAGACCCATAGTGCTCAGGCTACCAAGGAATTGTTAAAGAGAAAATGTCCAGCTGATGTTCTGGACATTCCCATTACCAAAGGCTCCAATGAGAGTGCTCTGCATAGGGGGCAAAGAGCAATGGGGCTGAAGAGAAACTGCTCACATCTCTGGGGAACTAAGGCTTCTAAGACATTGTATATGCTCATGCCTAACACTCCTAAGAGAGGTGAAAGTGAGGTTAAGGACTTCAGAGAGGCAGTTATGTCCCATTTTCTGAGTGACTGGAAAAGAGGCTGTGGGATACTGAGAGCCCTTATTACCCACCATGTGACCAACCAGGAAGCCTCAATCACTTCCATGAGGCTCAGTGGTGCTTGCAGAAACCAAATTTTGAACTGGCAGTCAACCCCCCCAGGTCTTGTGCTTACTAGGTATCCTTATGAGCCATGTCTTTATGATCTTTTTTCCTCATTGCTACTGTGTTCTACAACTATGGGACCATTACATCATTTATCTGAAATTAGCCATTTCAGGTGCTGTCACAGACAGGGCCCAATTTCAGCCTCTTAAGCACTGTTGATAAAGCTGGCTTTCTCAAAAAGCCCTTTTATTAGGCCTGGGGAGATAAGCTTAGTGGTACAGCACTTGCAAAGAATGTACAAAGCCCTGATATCCAACACTACAAAAACAAAAAACACCTATGAAGGTGAAAATGATCAAAGACAAAACAATGGCTAAGCTTAATGACTTTGTAGCTTCCTTTGGATCCGGTGAACTCACAGGTCTTGGGCTCACAGTAGGTACTGACAGCTTGGCATCCAACCATGAAGTGGCAAACCCTGCTAATGCACACCAGACTAAAGTGTTGGCAATGAACAAAAAGGAAAAAATGGGAAAGGGACACAGTGATAGGAAGGCTAGTAGGCCCACCCTGGGCATTGGCAACTTTTCAGGGTGATGAAGGGCACCAAAACCATTTGGCACAGGAGGGGGATTCTTGTAGCTACAAGACCTGGGTACACGTTTTAGCCCCAGGTTAATCCTTAAACCATGGGGAGGCAGTGATTTGCACTCAGCATTAACGAAGCTCCCAGGAGGGCATAAATTAAGACATTTTTGTTCCATAGGTAATTTTTTTCTGATGCCTTCACCAAAAGCTCAGTCCTATACAGGCTTAACATCAGTCTGGCAACCCACTTAGGATGATCTAAATCCCCAGGGAATCTCTGCTTTGGGACTAGGCCCTAGAGACTAGAAAATGAGTGAGTCTGACACTTGAGACCAATCATCCTTACATCCCTATCTACTTCTTGTCCATCAGTGAATCCTTCTTCCCTTCTCCACTGGTCATACTGGATAGTAATCATCATTACTGCCTAGGATTCCAGAAACACAGCTGAGAAAGAACTGATAGGACTTTCTGCTTGTATAAAATAATAGAACTAGCCATGTTGCTGCTATAGAGGCCTTAGAGGGAAGGGGGAAATGCTCAACACACAGACGACAAGGCAGGAGGTTAACCAATTTTAATGGAACCAAATGCTTATACAATAAAATTTTATACACATTCACAAACAAACAACACCTTGCAACATTCTAGGAATTGTAGAAAGAAAGTAGAAAGGAGTACATCCATGTGGAGATTCTCCAGTTGGAGCTGTAGATTAGTATTTTGGTCTTTTCACTTCAACTCTGCAATGGAAGGAAAAATGAGTCAGTATATGATCAATACACTGAGCAATTTCCACCAGTCCCACAGAGGAAGAATGCTGCTACTCACCCATCAGCTTCCATCTTCTTCCTCTTCTCAATGATCTGCCAAAAGAACAGTGTTAATGTAGTCATACTATGATCTAAGCCCACCTGAGACCCAATCTCATTTCCATGCCTCTCCAACCCCCTGCTTGTTCCTGATGTATAGGCGAGTGTCTCTTCCCAACTGAAACCTTCAATCTGAGTCTCACTTACTGCACTGATCTTCTTCCACTGGCGATCAAGCTCTGCCTTATCATTGGTTTCTTTGAAACGCCTGGTTTTCCGTCCTTCAGACATCTTGATACCATACTGGAATGCAGCCCTGAAAATGTCCATTGGGTGAAGGAAGAAGGCATTAGAGGTTGCATAGCAGTAGTAAGGTTTTCCCAGAGGATTCTGTGGGCAGAGGACCTATCTGAGAATATCTCAGCAAGATCACACCCTTTAAACCTGGTATGGCCTAGTCCACCAAAACACCACACCCCCTTCTCCCTCTCTGTCCATACTTAGTACCAACTCACTTAGGCAAAGCCTCCTTATTATTCATATACTCGCTGTATTCCTCCTGCGTATCAAAGTCCCAGCGGCCTAGAGGACCCTTCTTGTTACCCTATGGCAGAGCAGAATAAGGGAATGAGAAAGAGATGTCAATGGAAAACAAATTGTAGCCCTGAATAAAGCCAGACTCTCACATAATCCCAGGTTGCACCATTTATAAATCCTACCCTAATAAATAATAAATACTTCCTACATACTTACTACATGCCAGACAAAATTCTGAACATTAAGCATGTATCTTAACTATATCTCACAAAGAGCCTATTAAGAGGAAATTATGTTTCTATTTTCCTGATGAAGAAACTAGCATTTTTAAGCAGTGAAAAGACTTGTCAAGGTCACAAAACTACTAATAATTAGCAGAGGCAGAACTAAACAAGGCTCCAAAATTAAACCATGCTTTTAATTACTGCAGTACACTGAGAATAAGGTAAAAGCAGATGAGATTTCTTCAGAACTAATATTATTACTTGTGTTGGGGTATTTTGGGTTTGTTACTACTACTTATATTGTTTAAAATAGAGGAAAACTTCAATCCTGGCTAGAATAAAATTCAGTTACTTTCTAAATACTGCAATTCCTTCCTTTTTTTCCACTTACATGTTAAAGCTTGCTTACTGCCTAGGATGGGAATCAAAGCTTGATACTCTGTTAAAGGATATAAATTTTTGGTCCTATCTCATTTGACTTGTGCAGACCCTCTAAACAGTTAAGTTGCTCATGACCTGCAATGCTGCTGCTTCTATGGCAGCCATTAAAGGTGAGTGGGGCCCAGAAAATAAGTCAGAGTGGGGAAAGGGAGATGTGCTAACGTATAACTGCCCAAAGGCCCCAACCATTCTCTTACCTGGTCCATTTTGCTATAATCCACCTCCTCATCACTATCCACAGCCATGTCATCCATCCTAAAAACAAAGACATACACAGATGCTGTTGACCCAGACTGGTGTATTTCATCCAAATCCCACCCAACTAAGAGGCCATTTGTCTAGGTAAAACCACACCGCTAGATCTCCCACTGAAGAGCCTAACAAAACAGTTCATCCAAGTAGAAATACCCTTGGGTCCCAACAAGTCAATTTTTCATTTCACTCCACCTTGTTTCCAGTCATCCCAGCCTCCCTTTACAGGATGTCATACGTACGTGGCTGGGTAGCACTCTGCATAACTGTTGGACATGCCAAAGAAATCTCCCAGTTGCTTTTTATCTTCTGGCTTCTTCAACATATGCTATGATAAAGAAAATTACACTTCTCACAGAAAAGCTCAGACAAGAGGGATCAGGGGCTATGTGCCTCAACATAATTCTCAGAAGCCAACTGTCAGCCTAGATGGGTCCTCTGGGGAAGGAGCAAACCATGCTATCATTCCTGCCAAAATTCAGCACAAAAGGAAAGGAGCACATACGAGTACAAGGGAGCAGGGAAGCAAGTAGCTGGAATGAAAAGAGATAGCTCCTTAAATCCCAAGAACAGGGCTGGGGGCATGGCTCTGGTAGTAGAACCCTACCTAGCAAGCACAGGCCCTGAGTTCAAATACCAATACCACCACCACCGCCCAAAAAATTAAAAAACAAAACTCAGGAGTGTATTTAAATAAAGGATATGATTCAGTGCCTTCCCAACCAGCAGACCCAGCAAACTTCTCATTGATAGATTTGATCAACTCCTTGGCAGATCCAGGCCCTGGGGGAAGAGAACTGTGCTTAGACTTTGGACTGATGTTCTCTCAACCTCCTCCCCACAACACACTTCCAACTTCATTAAAACTTTTTTTTTTTGAGCCCAAGATGGATTCAAGATTGTGATCCTCCCACCTCAACCTCTAGAGTGCTGGGATTATAGGGATGCAAGTAATAATGAACTACTCTGGTAGAACTGACAGTGGGGTACCCAAAACACTGTACATTCGACCTAGGCCTCACTTCCTCAGAACTATAGGACTGGAGGAATTATATCTAAAAGCAAATACTCCCTGCCATTGTCTGAGAACATAGGAGAACTTCAAATTTACTCTGACTATTCCACAAAGCACAACATGGTTCTTATGAGAACCTAGAACCAGGAACTCTCCCCATCCCAACTTCACCAGATCAGGTCAGATTATCAGTCCAGGGGAAAGTAGGACTGTAGAGACA